ATGCAAATAAAACCCTGGCCAGCACCAGTAAGCATTGCCCCCTGTCTGGCGGTGGTGGGAGGGAGGACACTGAGCTGGGGGGCCCCACAGCAGGTCTAGGGTTTACCTGCACTGGGAAAGCCTTGGGCAGCTCCTCTGGGACCATGGCCCACATGGGGAGGTGCAGTGCGTCCAGGCTCACTGAGCTGTGATATCATGATATCCACTTGCTCCACGTGTGTGCATGTCGTGCCTGGGGCCTCCAGCATATATAAGATGGCCTCTACCACTGTCTTTGGGAAAACATTCAGTGTTTGCTTTAAAAATAACACTAATAAAAGAATGGTAACTCAACCGTTCGGAGGATGTTCTGGAGTGGTATGCACAACACGCATGCAAAATACACTGAAGTGTAAAATTCCACCTACATATGGAAAATAAAGTTTTCTCCCTCTGGGAACTGACAGCTTTCCAATTCTCCTTATCAGTAAATACACAAAAAGTACAGGACACACAAAACAGCTTGCTGGATGCAGCGGGAAGAGCGTGGAAACCCCAGGGAAGCAGGTCCACCCCCAGGGCGGAGGTGTTTCTACAGCCATGGCTGCGATGAGCAAAGCTGCAATATTCCCCACTGGGAAGGGCTCGGGGTGGGCTTGGGCAGGGACACGTTCTCTTCGACATGTCAGTGCACCCATGTGGCTGCGAGTGATTTGCCAGGCTTTCTGTGACACTAGGATTTTCTTTCAGCCAGAGCCCTTGCTAACACGGAACCTTTGGGTTATTTTTGACCACATTTCTCTCTGGGATTTCCTGGAGAGAACAAGACAAAAATTCCCATGTGGTGGTAGCAGGTATGCACAACATCTGAAGCTTGTGGAAGTGCAGATGCACTGCACAGTGCAAAGAGGTGACGCCGTACTTGGGCACAGTGGGGCCACCAGCCAGGCTGTCCCAGCGTGTCAGACCTGCCCCACAAGCACCATGTCTCCTGGGCTCAGCTGCACTCACTAAAGCCTGATGCTTCTGGGCTGCATATGAATGTGTGAATCATCAGTGCAAGTCCTGGGCTGCAGAGCCTGTCTGACGCTTTTAGGATTTACTGCTTGTCCTACATCAAGTGCACATGTGATGGAGGCAGATGGGGAACACATACAACCTGAAGCTGTGAGGTGTATATGCATTATGACTAATTAACATGCACAACTTTATTGATACCAAGCCTAAGAGCTGAGTAAGACGAAAAAATGCAGTGAGTCTGCATTTACTTTCTTATACAAAACAATGTTTTTCTTTTTTTGCTCTTTTTCTTGTTGGGATTTATTTGTTTTGTTTTTGTTTTAAAAGCACCTAATGTGCTTAGCATTAGGTGAAAAGTACACTTAGGCTTGGAGTGAGTGATATGCTGTCTTTCAGACTCAGACACAAACTTAAGAGACTGCAAGGATTTCAGATTTTAATAGACCTCCCAAAGAGATTATAAGAAAGTTTTCAAAGGGCTGTTCTACACTCACTGCATTTCTTCTCTCCAGAAATGATAAAAATAAAACATGTCCTGTTTCCAGAAAACTTTGATAGCTTTCATGATGTTTTCCTAAAAATATCTATTTCCTTTGCATTACTTAAGAGTGTAACTCCCCCATATGGCTGAGGCTACAGCTGCTACAAATAGCTTAAAAACAAGGAAATGCAGAAATTTCTATTTGGCCTGCTTATTTTTACACCCTGGTAAGAATATTACCTCATCATACTTATAAGTTATGACTGACCATTCTTTGGAGACAGAGAGGATTTAAAAGGAGCTTCTTGTTTTTGAGGTTTAGGCACATAATTACACGAATAAGCTGAATTTACTGATGACGTGCAGTTAGGCTTGCTATCTTCTCCTCATTTCCCCAAGGAAGTGTGAGAGGATGCATCAGTGACCATCAAAAACGTGTGTACAGACTATATTATTTAAAGCTTTGTATTAATAATATGGGTGGGCAGATGTCCAGTGGAGTTTACTGTAGGATTTGTCTTATGGTCGATCTTCACAGCTCTGAGGATGTTTGAAAATATCACAGAAGATTATTTTGGCATCTGCATGGCCCTAAACTGGACATTAGACATCCATAAAGAAATTTAGAGCATAGAAGAGTCCTGCACAATGCTTAAAACCTGGGAAAACGTGATGGGAAAGGAGCTATGATGAACAGAAGAATTCTATCTGGTTTTGCTGCTTCTACATTTTTAAACATAAAACAAAACCAAGAGGCATATGCAGTAGCAACAGGAACAAGAGCAACAGTGATGTAAACTAACACTAACAGAAATCTTTTGGAAAATGCCAGAAATTCAAAGCACAGCACTCAGGGATAACAGGGAAAACCCTGACCCGGGTTTTCTGCCCCTTTTACCACGGCAGAGTGGGGTAACATGCTCACCATCACACAGCAGGTCTTGACTGCAACCTCTTACAGTCCTCACTGATGAAGAAAGGATACATTTCTAACTTAATCCAGACTGCCACATGGTAAAGCCATCTGGGAGGATATTTTGAAGGAAACAGATGGAAAAGGAAGAGATTCCTCTGAATGTAGTGTAAGATTTACATTATCCTCCATGAACTTCCATGTAGTCCCCATGTTTATATAATTTATCACTATTTCCTTAGACAGCTCAGATTAGGAAGCCTGCATGAGCTCATGTTCGTGTTGTTAATTCTGAGTCTGTACCTCCCTCCTTTAAAGGGAAATTCAGTAGTGTAAAAAGACAACGGAGAAAGGCAACCGGACTCCAGTGAAAACCAGCAGCATGAAGCTCCTGGCCGTCCCAGGAATCGCACTGTTTTACCTCTTCCTTCTTTTAGCCTCAGGAAGACTTGCTCACAGCAATATACATTTTTTTCTCTCACTGCACACCCACAGCCAGCAAAAATGCAATGTTGTGTCAGCCTAAGTGTGGGAGCAGGGCCTATTTAGAGCAGGAAGGGTTAAAGACAAGTCAATGATTTCATTGAAAATCCCTCAGGCCAAGGATTAAAAAAAGAAATGTTCTCTGAGTGAAGACATGGCACACAAATAATTTAAAGACTGCAATTTCACTAGTTGTGTTGTGATGACTGGGGATTGCTAAAAAGCCTTCTCTCTCCTTTCATGCATTCTTCTGTGCCTCCTCGTTTTCTATGCAAACATTTCCATTACTAATGGGACTGTCAAAGGGCCTCCTTTTCTCTCTCTTGCCCTCCCCGACCACGGAGATGCTGCAGAGGCACCGTGCAGCAGCGGCTGCGGCTGAAACACCCTGTGGCATCCCCACCAGTCACCGTTTCGGGAAATAAAGGACAAGAAGGTCTATACAGAGAATCCCGGCGTTTTGGTTCAAACTCCTACATCATTAAATCTGTCCTTACTTTGTTCTGCTACCAAGCGATGAGTCCCAGGTCCCCGCTCCATCCTCTGACACCCCACCTCAGCCTTGGTCCCGGGCATTTCTTCCTCTCCCATGCCAGAGCTCGCACTCGATTAGCATTCAAACTAAACACTCAGGACTAAGTGCCTGGTTGAAATGGAGGTGCAAGCAACACTATGGGCAGCACAGTTTCTGCCTGGCTAGAGGCAGGGCTACAAGCTCCAGACCCCTTTATCCTGCCGACCCCCATGGGCATGAGCTCCCTGCCACCCACCGGGGGTACCGGCAGTGCAAACAGCCCCCATCTTCACCTCCTGGGCTTGGCCTCCTTGGCACAGCACGATTTGAGCCCCCCAGGTGCCACGGAGGAGACGGCTGGCTCTGTGCCCACCGACAGATTTACTACCAGGCTGCGGGAGGAACAGCATGATTGCGGCCCTAGCAGTTGAAGGATGTAAGTGAGACCAGGGAGAGGAAATATCTTTTATTAGACCAACTCGGCGTGTTTTGAATTGTGTGTTGCAGTCAGAAGGTAAGTCCTCGGGGACGGTTGCTGCGTTTCTTCCATAAGCTGGCCCAATAAAAGACATTACCTCTCCTTGCAAAATTTACCTTCCTTCAAGATACTACCACATTCATCCTGAATGTTATCTCTGCCATTAGGAGGCATTAATATCATAGCCAGCCCCACTACTGTGAGTGTATTGATTCCTTTTGCAGAAACCTGATTCCTCTGCATACTTTTGAGTGTTGCATCATCTCACCCCTTCAACTCACAGCTAGGATGTTTTCTGTTTCTTATGTAACAGCTCTTAATTCAGATTACGGGAGACATTACAATAGTGTACACTGTACGATACTGTATTAAAACCGTACGGTAGAAAAACAGAGGCATTATTCCCTTCTGAAAGCGGACCTCTCTCCAGAAAAGCAATGAACCTTTTCTGCAGACCTGCTCCCATGCCCACATACTCTTCTCTGCTGCAGCATACATAACAAAGTGGCAGAGTTGGAATGTTTTTTGTTTGTTTGTTTTTGGCATGAGTGGGTGGGGAAAGAAAATGGAAGAGAAGACCATAAACGCAGTGTTTGGTTTCATTACACCTTAGCTTGCACTTTGTCCAAGGTGTTAAAGAAGAAAAACTGCCATCCAACAAAAGATCCTCAAATGCATTAGTATTTAAGATGGTTTAATTATCAAGTTCAGCCTATTTTTTTTCTGTGGATTTAGAGACTCGTTTATACCAGTAGGGAGAAGGGTTTTACACCTGTGTCCCCCCTTCCTGCAAGCAGCCCAGGCTCAGTGGTTGCCCAGGGTGCCCAGCTCAAGCTGGACTGGCACCAGACATTTGTGTGGCTAGTGTTGTCTTCACCAGGTGGAGGCTGCATAAATGACATTTCTGAGGACATTTCTGAGCAAGCACCTTCCACTTCAAGCAGTTCCACTGCTGCTTCCTCTCCTTCCTGAGGGCCACCACATGAATTGTCTGGGTGGTTGTGCCAAACAAGCCAGCAGCTATCCTCCATTTCATATTATTGATGCATTTCCCCTCACTCTTTACCAGTTTAAATACTGAAGACGTATTCAATTTAAGATAGAGTAAGGAATTTAAAGCATTTTTTCTTACCTGAGCAGGCTTCTTTTGAACCACTTGTTGAGGCTGAAAAATGAAACAAAAGCTTGGTGAGAAGCAAAATTTACTGAGGTCACTTAGCAGTCATTTCACAGGTGCTGGGAAAAATAGTTTCAGCATAAGAAATAAAAACACAGGCAAAACCCACAATCAGAAATGGAGAGCTTGTTATTTCCATGGATGCTGATTACTCTTTTCCCCCACTCTTTTGGCCATGAGCTGTGGGGAAGCCCTCCCTGCTGGCTACGAGGCTCAGGCAGAGAGGTGAGAGGTGAGGGACATGTTCCTGAGCCAGGGCTTCCCACCCAACCACAGCCATCCCTGCTGAAGCCATCAGGCTGGGGTGGGCAGCACCTCTGCTCCCTGGGTGCTCTGGTTTGGAAGCTGTAGCTGAATGAAAGCACTGGATGTGATTTTGGGGATGCCCATCACCAGGCTGCTTGGGTGCGTGGCCAAGGAGAGATGGGGGCTGTGTCCACCTGCTTGCCCACAACCTGGTGGCACAGCCACAGGGACCTCAGCAGCAATCTTTTTCTGGCTGCCCCTACCCAGGAGCAGGAAATATGGTCCTCAGGAGAGTCAGGAAAGCCACTGAGGTGCCGGGGCCCTGCATCCAAGCCCCGGGGAGGAGGAGGAGGATCAGTTAAGGAACTAACGCCTGCACGCTTAAAATACACCACGGCTGCTCTGCTGATGTGACCCCTGTGGGTGCTAGGAGCAGCACGAACAATAAGGCCACAGATAAAGGATGAAATCCCTGACACCGTGAGCACAAAAGGGCTTTTCTTACTCCAGTGGGGAAAAGCTGCCTGCCTTCCCCCTCTCTGCCCCCCAGGATTTTCTGTTTTCAAAGTACATGAATCGCACCCAATGATTTTCTTCCTGCCCTTCCTTCCTGCCTGTTCCTAATCCCAGCCGTGATTTTAGTGCCTCACTTGGGCAGAAGCCAACATGCCGTCCCTCTGGATAGCCAAAACCCTAATTTTCATGACAGTATAGTAGGAAATAACTGGAATATTTCTGAATAAACAGTTTAGTGTAACTGGCCTTTCAGAGCAATATTTCAGTGGGAAGGATCAATGAAAATGTAAATTAAATGTAACTGATTCAATTCAGACTGCCCACCACAAGCGTCCCATTTTAACAAGAGATGCTTTGTTTATTTTCAGTCATTTTTTCTAATTCAGCGGAATCCTATTGCTGTTTTATTTTTTGTATCTCTGCCTCAGGCTCCAAGTTCTGCTCTCGAATAAATATGAGAGGGAAAAAAAAGCGATGACTGGGTCCGTCTTTAAACTTCAGGGTGGATCCTTTTCTTTTCCATTAAACTCCCTCGCAATGGAGAAGCGATTACCCAAGCACACATTTTATTGATGCCTTCTCCAGGTGGACTGCAAGCCCTGAACTGATTACGGGACATTTGCTGCCCTTGGACAAAGGAATTATTTGTTTCATAGGAATCCCTCGTAATTACAGAGTTCACTGAGCTCCTCGGTAATCTGAAGTGCTTTTCCACTTTATTTTCTTTTTCTTGCCTGCTGATTACACCTGTGCACGTGTTTACTCCCAAGCCACATGAAATCTGTAGACATTCTTAGCGGCTGACTGTTTTCTCCTGTTCAGAAATCCCCATATATTTTTGGCTGTGTGCTCTGCATTCATGTGACTCTCACACACTGTAGCTCAATGAAATCTTCTGAAAGGGCTGCCAACTCACCAAATTTTCCATGAATTAGGTCCTGACACTTCAATGAGAGGAAAGACAATGTCTGAAACAAGGCCAGCCCTGGCTTTCTGCCTAGTATGTGTCAAAGTAATTCTACCAGCTGCCCTTCTACACAGCACTTCATACTTTTCAGACCACCAGAAAGCCCCTTGAATACTTTCAGTGATAGCTGGGGCTCGGGCTGCCAGTGTGTTTTCCCAGCCTCTGGCACCCAGTGGCTCCAGACTGGACCTAGAAAGTTTTTGTGTGTGTTTGTTTTGTTTTGTTTTTATTTTTATGAATGGCTTTCGCAGGGGACTCTGACTCGAGCACAATACTATACAGCCATTCATAAAAAGCAGAGGGAAAATATTGTACTTTGCCCAGTTGGAAACTGCCTGTGATACTGACCAAAGCTCGCAGGAATCTCAGTCATTCGAGATCTTTGCTATCTCAGTGCTTCATGTCAAGAGCTCCCTGGCAGCGTCTGCTTGCTGCCAGCGAGGTTTCCAGCAGGGAACAGCGCATGTTGTGCTTTCTCCCTTAGATGGAAGAAGCGGAGCTACGCGGGACGAAAAGCAGGGCTCAGCCCCTTGGCCGGCGCTCGCGGCACGCAGCACCGACACACTGGGAGCCGTGCCCACGCCTGCCAAGCTCAGGGCTGCGGCCTGTGCGGGCTGAAGCACGGCAAGGGCTGGCACCCAGGGGCACCGCTCGCCCCGCTGGTGATGCAACCAGACAAACACTCCCTGGGTAAAACCAGCAAGGTCCAATCCTGCCAGGATCCCTGCGTCTGCTCACTCAGGGACCACGGCCCTTGGGGCAGCCCAAAGCAGGAGAACTGAGGCGGACAGGAATAATGAAAAGTCTCCTAAGCACCCCCTTGATTTCTATAACCGTTGTGGACGCGACGTCTTTGGGAACTGCTGGACACACTGTGGATACAAATGCGTCTACTCACTGAGTCCTGTGTTCACAAAGAGAGTTAAGAGAGCTTTTCAGAGACACCTCTGAGCTGAAAGGCTCTTGCAAATGCGTGTTTGACTAGTTGGGAAGAAAGGGAATCCGTCTTGGTTACGGAAAAGATTGGAACCACAAAAAAGACAAGGACAAGAGACTTTAAAGAGATGCCTCGGAGCAAAATGAAGTTGTACGTGAGACAGGGGAGCTCTGAACTATTATATATCCCTCCAGGAGACTGCAGAGTAAGATGGCAGCCCTCCTGCTCTGCCAGAGGCTGCCTTGCTTACCTAAGTGATCGCACGTAAGGGGAGCTGTGTGAAACACACAACTTTCACATTTTACTTTTATCCCAAGTTGGAAAACCAACTATTTTACACTGAAACTGTATCAGCTGAAATTCTGGGTACCCGAAATCAAACTTTACTGGTTTATGTCAAATACAAGCGCAGGACAGTCTCAAGCAGCTTTCTTAAATCTGTTTTGAGGCAGAAAGACCAAGTGACAGTGTTGGAAAAATTCTAGTGACCACGTCATTTAAAAGCCTACCGTACGAGAACAAATCCAAAATACAGCAGAGTGCATGTTTAAACTACTATGTCTACACGAGCTAAGACAAAATACTGTAATTTAAAACTTTGTGATAAGATCTCTAACTTTGAAGAGAAAAAAATTAACCACGTAGAGAGCAATGTACACAAACCTTTTGGTGGTTTTATCTTTGGCTGTAAGGTTTGGAAGTTCAAAGCCCAACTGTTTATCTTCTACAGCACACATCTTTCACCGTCTCCTCTGCCACCTCACCCCTCTATTTATTTTCAAATTCTGTCACTTTACCCTTTGTCAATATCCTAGATGTGTCCTTGCAGACAAAACCTTGTTCAGGCACTCCTTGCCTCTGCCAAAACCTGTATCATCAGATAACTTTTCTCTCTGTTGGTAAATACAGACACCGGTCAAACAATTTCTCTGCTTCCTACACGAGAACAAAAGAGCCGCCTCATGTGACGAGTCCATATTCATCTTGTACCAGCAGCCAGAAGTTGTATCAAATTCAATTTGTCACACCTCCCCTTCTCTAAAGTGCTTCTTCTTACCCTTTGACTTTTCGTAGCCCTATAAAAATAAGGATGGCTACGGGTAAGTCTATGTCAACCAGGACGAGCGACGCTGGAACACATTTTTAACGATCGGAGCTAAAAGCACTGGCCTGCATGCAAATCATTCACCTACTGCTGTGCCTGAGCTCCAAGGACACACCGCACAGTCACGGTGCTCCTAGGTTTTGTGTCTGCGTCTTCCTCTTTAAATGGGGCATTATGAAGATGTTTGACTGATGCTTCTTGGCAACAGTGACTCTCTATTTTATTCCCACAGCTTGACACAGACAAGACATTCGCATGGAGGTAGCTCTGCTGGTGAGGCTAAATGACCGTGATGGAAACTAATACCCAGTTAGGATGACATTTATAGTGCTGACAGCTCAGTGTTGCGCAGAGATCATTAAAATAATTTCATAGGTCACCCAAACACTTGTAGTTCTAAATTAAAAGATGAGTAAAACCATATTTAGACTTTTTGTCTACATATCCTAGAAAAATCAGGAAGTTCATATTATACCAGTTGAAACCAATATAATCCAAAATAAATCATGTCTTCCAAGCAGTTCCATATGACAGCGTAATAACTACTGTTCTGCCCTACAGCTTTAATTGGTTCGAGTCCAGCCTTTCCCTCACTCCTCGAGCACGCAGTGCTCCAACGCTGGGACTGGAGGCCCACAGAGGCTGTGAGAGCCTCCTCTCCTCTCAACAAAAGCAATTTCCAGCTTCACGGCCACCAGCAGGACTCCACCACAGGCTGTGTGGGGCAGCGAGCCTGCCATTCACTGCTCCTATCCAGGTATGCTCACGGCTTGCTTTGGAAATGATCTTCCCTTAGAGGGGCGAGGAGAAAAGCTTTTCACAGCATCAATAGCGAGGGGAGGTTCCCTCTCCGCCCAAGCAGGAGCTGCTCGTGTTTTGGAAGGGCAGGTTGTGAATTCTCCTGCCCACATCGCATGTTTGCAGTCAACTGGCAACCAGGGCGCCTGTGTATGCACACTGCTGTGGGTCATTAGGATGTAACAGCAAAACCATCTGGCCCTAAGAGTTCAAAGGAGATTTCACAGTCCTCTGTGCAGTCTCATAAATGAAGCTAATAGTAATCTGTGGAGAATTTTGGCAAAATCTGTGGAACTTTTATTCTTTATTTTCTATCCTACTTGGCGCTGCTCTGAGTTTTTAATACCAAATACAAAGTCAGGTCATTCAAAAAATATTTATTAGCATATTAAACTGACCTCCCCTGACTGCTGCTGGAAAACCCTGCAACATCTCAGGAGCTGCACCAATAACTTTAGCTGATGACAAAGTAAATAGCACTTCTACTCCACTTGTGGAGGAGAGCAGAAAGCATCACAGTTTTCCAAGTACACAAAGTGACATTTAATAGCTATTTGGCTGGCACTGAAATCTTATATTTTACCTGGCAAATTCAAAACACATTGCTTCAAATTGCTCTTTTGGTAGCTTGAAAATTCATGCACTGGCATCTATATCCAGTCAGGTAGGTATATATGCAATGGAAGTCAACCAACTGATAACAGCGGGGTTAGGATTTCATATGTTTTATATACAGAAAGCTACCTTCACTACTACAAGTTTAAGGTTGCTACTTTTGCAATGGTTTTATGTTCTGGGAGTAAAAAAACTGTGAAAAAAATGTATTAAAAATCAAATTCTCATTTCTTCTACACTAGTACAATCCACTATTTTTCAGTTGCTTTGACCCAGCCTTCCTCAGTGGCAGGCTTCCCACCACAACTAGAGATCTTGGAAATACAAATGTAATGGTTAGAACAGGGAGAGGAAAAGTGTCATTTTTCTTCATCTGATAGCTGAACAGCTTAGTTCAAGCACAATACCTCGTTGAGTTTATCAAGGATATAAGCAAAATTCAAAGTACAGTAGTTGTTAGTTCAATGCTCTCGATTATATTAATTTTTATAATCTTTCAGTTGATATTGGGTATATTTCCATAAAATACTTAGGGTAGTGCAGCTTATGAAATGGGAGGAGGGGGAACGGTTTTAAACTAAAACAAGGAGATTCAGGTTAGATGTTAGGAGGAAATTCTTCACTCAGAGGGCGGTGAGGCCCTGGCACAGGCTGCCCAGAGCAGCTGTGGGTGCCCCATCCCTGGAGGTGCTCAAGGCCAGGCTGGATGGGGCTTTGGGCAACCTGGGCTGGTGGGAGGTGTCCCTGCCATGGCAGGGGGGTGGAGCTGGGTGGGCTTTAAGGTCCCTTCCAACCCAAACCATTCTGTGATTCTCTGGTTCTATGAATGGACCTTGTAGCCGTGGTTAAATGCTATATGCAAAATTTCCATTGCTGTACCTAGCTGAAATCTATACATTTGCTGTAGTCCCACATTTCAGCTGCAGGAGGATCTGTTGCTGCTGACTGCTCTTCAGAGACACCTCTGCTCTGTTGGGCTCCCCTGTTACTTCGTTACCACCCATCATGTATTTGATAAGCTTTCTTGATGCATTTTACACAGGCTTCGTTCAGCACCCTGTGCATTTTTCTGCTAAAATATTGAGAAGCACTTTCTGCCTCTCAGAGTAATTCTAGTACACAATTTAGCACTGATGTTTTCTTGATAAGCACCTAAGGAACTTGAGCTGACTCCTGTTAAATGAATGTCATATATACCTGCCTGTTTATAACCCCCTGCACAGACAGGCTATTGAGAAAGTCAAAGGGGAGGTTCATTATTTATAGTTATAGTGTAAGAAAAAAAGAATACATTTTAGCAGACAGAAATAAATGATAAGTTATTTGCAAAGAAACCTAGCTCTCATGATCCAGGCGTATAAACTGGTCAGGAACTACTTAGCTTTATACCTTGCAGACCTCTCCACACAAGTAACTATTGTGCAACTGTTTATCTCCAGACTATCTTGTCTGTTTTGATACAGCAACCCCTGCGTTCACCATGGATCTCTCCTGACCCATATGGAAATAATTTTTGACCACTTCTGAACAGGCGAGATTTGAATTGATGACCTGGAGGTGAAAAAGCGCCGTATCACATTACCATCCGGTTCCAACTTAGTTCTGTTAGAGTGTCTTCCCTCTCTTCTTGCTCCAGCAGCTCCCACCATACAGACCAAAAAACCAGGGTCCTGCTTCAGAGACCATTCCTGGTGGTAGCACCAACAGTGGCTGCCTGGAGCCCATCAGGGCTGCAGGACTGGCCTCTGTGGCCTCATCTCTGGACCTGACTGCCAGCAGCTCCTGGATCTCCCTGAACTTTGCTCTGGTCTCCAGTGAAGTAACACAATAGGGCGGTAAAGTCCCAAACCAGACCTGCAAAATCGGCTACTGTTTGGAAAGTAAACACTGAACTTCAGTGTTTTAGCTGAAAATAAAACTATTGCCAGGTAACATTTATCTTTCTGGGCTTTCTCATTCTCCTCCTCATTTTGAGGTCACAGAGACCTTAACTCATTTGGTAACAGTGTTCTTGCGTCACACAGAAACTGGAAAACATGCACGGCCCGTTTTGCACAATACAGGCTTAGATACGAATAATCAAATTCATTTCCAGGTCTATGACAGCCACTGCAAACGAATGGCCTCAGTCTAGAGCTAGGGACAGAAAAAGACCTTAAGTGGCAGTGACGGAAAGCAAGGAGCAAACTTTGCTCCGCTGGGTAGCCCAGGGATTTCAGCAGTGTCCTGGCAGGGAGAGGTGACAGTTCTGCCCCACTGCCCACGTCTCACCACAGTGCTGCCCTGGCCACACTGCAGCCCGAAGCTGCACTTCACAAGAGTCCCTGAAAAACACACTGTTTCTGTGCATTTTGCAGTGATGTGTGACCCAGGGGGATGCGACACCTTCGGGCAGTGCTGAGGCTGCCTGGGGCGGACACCCAGCAGTTGCACCGGGCAAGCACTCCCTGCACTTTCTTAGAGGCACAGAGCCAGGTTGTGAGCGCACCGAGCACCAAAGCCCTTAGGCTCACAGGGAACTGAGTGTTTGATTCTACTCATCTTCTGCTGATGAGTGCTTTTCTTCATCTTTTCTTGCAAAGCAAAACCCCTTTTGGATCTGGGAAGCTCCTCCTCGTGTTCTCCTGAAGGATACCCTCACTCCCTTGGGTGCCCAAGCACTTGGCTGTTGTGTGAGCCTGTCCCAGTGGGCCCTGCCTAGAAAACCTGCAGGCTTCACCCACAATGGAAAACAATCCAGCCCAGGTGCAGCCTGGTGTGCATCCGTACGACCTTTCCTCCTCCCAGACGGAGCCATCTCTTCCACACCGCCTGGAGGAAGAAGCCCCAGAGCCTGTGCTGTTTCCTGAACCTCTGCACTGGCAGAGGACAAGACAGTGCCACAGGGCAGGCTCCCAGCTGCCAGCACAGACAGTGCTTCAGGCTGTGCCCAGGCACTGTTCAGACACATCTCCAGACCCTGTCAGGAAGGAGGAATCTGTCCCCTCATCAGCTCAAACCGAGGTAAGGACACAAGGAACCCAGGCAGCCTCTTTTGCATATCCATTTCTGACCCTTTAGAAATGGGCAGTATCTTGTATAGAGCGTATGTGGTCATCCCCGGGCCTGGCCCTGAAGCCCTGCAGGAGCTTCCCCGTCCCATCCAACCCATTCCCTCCGTGACCTCCCATTGCCCCGTGATGGCTGGGCAGGGGTTTCCTCCCAAGAAGAGGCACACGGCGCGAGGAAGGCGGGTCGACTGTGCCTCGCTGATTTTCTGCAGCTGAGGATCTGGCCTGAGGCACTTCTCTTGAACTTCTTTGTCTGAGCACATCCATTGGTAGCCACATGGTTGGCTGGGGATGTTTTTGTACGTCTGGGATACACAGATGTCTGATAGCTGTCTGTCTATCGAAGAGATTTGATAATTATTACTGCCTCCAGGAAACTGATGCTGCTAAGAGTGTCTGTCAGAGAGTCCAAACAGCCTGCTGACATCCTGGCACAGTTTCATAAAGAAGTCAGTGTCCAAAATAGAAATACATTTTCTATGTACTTGAAATATACCAGGGGCTTGGTGGCGAGTTGTTGTAATTAATCCACTTCCTGGCCTGATATATTTTGGGATCATTCTGGTGCGTGGTATGTTAAATACTGAACTCAGTTCATACTGTTGGTTTTGAATGGAACTTACATTCATTATGTCCAAATGAGTGATTTGTAGGCACTCCTTGCAAAGCAGAAAAAAGCTTTGGATTGCATTTCTGGTGTGCTTTTACCATTCACTCAGTAATTTCATCATACACATCACTGTGAAATCTGCGGGACACAGTAACACATTTGAAAGGTGGCAGCAAAACTATTTTCTGTTATTCAGCTAGAAGTCATTTGCTAAAAGACTGCAAAGACAAAGTCTACAATATCGTACCATCAGCCTCTTGACGGCAGAAGAAATATGAATAATGTCTGTGTGCACATTGCTTCTGGTCTGAAAGAGAGAGAAAGAAGGGGAACAAGGGAGAGGGAGGGAGAAAAAGATGCTGCTCTTGATATTCCTCATGTCGTTTTGGAGTCGTGCTATTTACGTCCTGGACAGATTGAATTTAGCCCAGCCTAGTAGAGAAGAATTTTAACCCTAATTTTTAAAGGACAATTACCTGACTGTCTAGCTACAGTTATTTAATAGCCTTTTGGAAGCTACAACTGACCTGAAGATCCTACTTGCTGCTCGGATCTAACAGACATGAACATCAAAGGTATGTGCGTTAGGTATGCATGCAAATCCCCTGCAGCTTTTTTCATCATGGTGCTGCAACCCGATACCCCAGCGGGAATGCAGTGCCTACAGCACCCCGACACAGCCCCGCTCCCCGACACAGCTCGCAGGGGTCACCTCGCTCACGGAGCACCGTACGCACCAGGAAAGCAGCCTGGCTTTAGATGGTACAGTTCTCAGGGACGTTTTACCAAACGCAGTTCATTTCTGATAATCAGCCTGCTGTATACTTGCTCTCAATCCCTAAGATTTTCCCTCAAACTTTCCCTACTTTGCTGTTGCTGTTGTTTCTTTCTAGGTGACAAAACAAGCTGATTTTTTTGCGTTGCAGAAAAACAGAGTAAAATCCTGTCCTTGGCTAAAACACATCCTTAGTTGCAGAGTCTACCCAAAGAGGTAAATGCTTCCATCTCCCAGCTAGTCACATTTTACTTTGATTGGACCCAATGTGATTTGGGAGGCGCCAGACAGGCACAAGTTGGTAGCATCTGTGGTTAGGTGGTCCTGGCAGCAGAGGTGAAATCAGCTTGCTGGGTGAAGGAGAAGGATAGCTGGCCTCCAGACGCTGCTGTGGTTGGCACAGAAAGATGTATGTCTTCTGGGGATTAGGCTACACGATGGGTAGCCAGTTTGCTCAATTTGCAGCTGGACGTAATCCGCCTCCACGAGCTCAGGTATTGTACCAGCACTGGAGTGATTAATGGCAGCTGCAAGACTATTTTAGCGTTGGCAGCAGTGTGCCAAGGACACCCTGATATCAACTCCAGGTATTAACAGGTAGGGAAGATACAGATGGTGGGGAGCAAGGTCCTTCTGCTGGTGGCGAGCAGGCTGCTCCCAGGCACCTCAATGTCCCCGTGTCCCCTGCCAGCAGCTTCCCAGCCCAGTCTCCAGCAAGGCTTTATCTTGAGAAGGGAGCTGGGGAGCACAGGGTGCACCCTGAGGTGAGCTCTGCAGGCAGCCCCACGGACACTAGAGGTAGCTGTGAGCCCAGTGCTCACCCCGGCAAACCCCATGGCCAGCAAGGAGGCCACCAGTGAAGGAGGGAGGGCCAGCATTTGAGAGAGACGTGAGGAAACCAGAGTACAGCTCAGGGCAGCGTGTGTACACCTAGCAGCTTCTGGAAGTCTTTGGCTGGTAGGAAACGGTGCTGGAATTTTGTGGTTGGGTCGTGTGGTGGGAAAGATCCCAAGGGATGGATGGAGAAATGAAAAGTGGCAAAGAGAGATGGTAGGAGGGAGGGGGCCAAATGCACCACACTCTCCCCGCTTGCACACAGATGGGAATGAGGTCTCTGCGCTGCCCAGGAAGTGCAAGGAACTGAGAGGAAACATAGAAATACCTTATTCGCATTTCTTTTTGCCCACTGCCATAAACAAGATGGCTGTGTTGTCCTATTTTTGGCTTCTGTTAGGCTCTTAAGCGTGTTAGTGACGTGTGATTTTGATCTGAGTGATGAGGAAGTTTGGATGGAAGGACTGTTTTTACGTACCAGTGGGTTTTCAGACTTTAGGATCAGGTATGTTTCATAGGCTTTGTATTTTCAGATCATGAAAAAGAAGGAAGAAAGAGGAAGGCCCCTGGACTGCACTGCCTCGGGGGGCGGAGGATCACACCCCTAGCCGCAAGCAGAGAAACAACCTGCCGCTCCCGGCTGATGACAGCCGGACCCGCAGGAGCTCGTGCTCTTCCTGAAGAAGAGCTCAAGCGATCTCTCAGCACGGCAATCTGTGCAGAAGCAGGTCTGCTTCAGCTCTGTGGTTAGCCTGCGCTGGCAGCGGGACAGCCAGGACATTCACTGTTTGTTATACAAGCACTTCAAGAGGGTGGGGGACAGTGATGGGATAAGGAGTTGCCCATGCCTCTTCGCCTTTCATCACCTCCCAGGAATGTCTGCCTTCAGGGCTAATTTAGATGCATTTACGTTAATAAATGTGTGGCCTTTTCAGCCACGTTTTTTCACTTTAATTCCTGTCTGCCCTTGCTGGCACATGCCCTTGGCAATTTGCGGTTGTTTTGCTCATTCGGCATTGTATAATTGTCCTTTATTACTGAATCTAGATATTTTTTTATGGTTAAACAAATGCAGAGCTCATGAAAGTGATATAGCCTAGCTCCATTTTGCTTAGTAAACACCACTTCTTTTTTTTTCTTCCTTTTTTTTTGCTTCTTTTTCTCAGTCAAAAATGCAACACTTTGCTAACTCTAAACTGATTTGCAAGCCTGAAACTGATGATTTCGTAAGTCTTCCAGATGCACCATCATCGTTCCAGAAAGTTTCCTGACTGACAAGAAAGCCAAGCCAGGATTTCTGTCAGATCTCCGTATCAGGATATTATTAATAAATGTTGTGTACCTAAGGGGGAATCCCCCTAATATTGCGCATGCTCCATATGGTTCCTCACACCGCACTGTGGTGATGCTCTCCCTCTCCTTACTCCTAAGTGCCATGAGACCTGGTGACACTTTTGGGCTGCAGCTGGTTGAAACATCCCTTATAAAGGTACTCGAGATGTCTATGTCCAAGTCCAACCATGACTTAACACATGAAGACACTTTCACATCCACACTCATCCCATGATAAAATGATGGATGATGTCTGTGCTCAGACCAGCTGAGACAAGATCAGATGGATGAATAACAGGATCCACATGTCTTTGAAGAGAGAGCACAGCAGAAAGATGGTTGCTTTTCTTTGCCTTTAGGAAAGAGGATGCAGGATAATTTCACACTGTTGATAATTTTGGCAGGGAGGATCCAGCCCATGAGCTTTAATCAGCCCTTCCATAGGAAATAGTCGGTCCATTTGTATTTCTGATCCTTTGCTTACGGCACTTTCCATTAATACCTGGGAGTGTGCTTGCTCCCCGGCTGTCTGAGCCATGCTACACTCCAAGTACAGGGCTGCCAATGTCCTGGAGGAGTCTTCAGCATGCAGAGGTTACATTCCTGGAAATGCTTGGGATGCCAGTAAACCATGGAGACTTTAGGAGCAAAATGCATAATGCATTCACTGATTAGCATCGTGTCATAACACAGATGGAGACGAGTACATCTAGTTCCTGAAGACTCCAGAACTAATTTGAATCTGAACCTGACCTATTGGTACAGAGCACACAAGCAACTCCAAGCAAAACAAACTGGGAAGTGCCTGGACACCACAGTGATGAACATGTTTGCCTATGTCCTCATCAGTATTACTCATAGTACATTTTCTCCTTTTTTCCAAGAACATTTTTCTTAATCCTCAGGGCTCCTTTAGAAATGGAAACCTAACACATTACCAGGTGTCCTGTGAGAGACCTGTGACACTGTGTAAGGGGTCACACAGGTATTTTTCCTTGGCTCAACACGGACATTCTTACAAAAAGCTTAAGAATACATAATAAATCAGATAACCAGCAAAGATCACAGTATTTAAATACATAATCTTATCTCTGAGTATCCTATTCACCTCTGCAGATCCTGAAGTGATTTCCATACTGGAAGTAACTCAGGAACCTGAAAAAGGGACTCGTGTAACTCTGCACTGCAATCCAGCCATTCCTGGGATGAGATCTGTCTTGTTTTAGCAGCACAAGACAATGTAGCATACAGCTAGGGAAGGAGGTAAAGAACACCACATCCAGTGTGAGCGGCAGGGAAGGAAGGATGTAATTACACAAATTGGAATCTGGCCAGGACACTGGGGTCAAAACCTCGACTCTTTTGAAAAGTGCCATGGGAACTCTAATGACCACAAGTGGTCAGGGCCTTGATTTTATATCTCATCTGAAAAACAACACCCCTAATGACATGGTTTTCTTGAGCGCCATGCAGAGGTATTCATCCTAAGTGAATTTGAAAGGAAAGTGAATCCCACTGCAGCAGCTAGGTGTCTTGGGAGGTATTCATTTTGTTTCCCAGTTAATCTATATAATCTGATAGCCCAGGGGACATGTACAAGCCCCTTTCCAACACTAGTGTCCAAACAGAACAGGACATTGTCACAAGACAGAACTCTGTTTATGTTGGATGTATCTACCACAAACTCAGATCACAACCCCACAATTTTCAAAATGCCAGTACTCATCCATGATCCTTTCATGACTTGACTTGTGTTATCTCCAATGTGGATCACCGAGTTTTTGAAATGTTAATGTCTACTAACCAAAAAGACAACTTTCTGTTGTGATATTATGCATCTGTTGTATTCTTCATTACTTTAGGATATGAACACATCACTGACTTACAAAGCATTTTAAAAGTCACCACCAGCTAAGCAGCAATAACAGACTATACAGATTTTAGCCTACTTGTGGTGGGAGGATATACAGCATCACTTTACACTTATTTTACTAAGGTAAAAAAATAGTACTTAGCAGTGAGGACAGGGTAGCAAGCCTGTGTACAGGTAGTCACTAACACTTATCAAAGCTCAGCCAGGATGCTGTAACTCAGTCATACATTAAACACCTCAGATTAGAGATTCTGGCTGTATCTGTTCTTACAGATTTAGAGAAAGGAATTTAGTGCCAATGCACTGAACTGGCTCACAGAGTTCATTTTTAACACTCTTAAAATCAAGTTCAGCAACCTACCCACCTTGTACAGATTCTGTCTGGTACAAACATCACACAATTTTCAGCAAGCCACTGCTGTTTCTAGGGCAATTCTTCAATTCTGTCAACTGAGAGCAGATCCTAGCAGCAGGTGCCTCCATGTACCTCTGCATGCCGGCATGTACCTCCCCAATAGCTCATGAGCTATCTGTCTCACGCTGGACTATGTACTGCGACCAGCAGTGTGACTGGGAGGAATCAAATCCTGCACTACTGGAAACAGAAAAAAACCACCAAAGCTGGCATTTCCACCTTGCCCAGCAACTGTTGCCCCAGCTCCTCAGCCTGTTCCTGTTTTCCCGTGGTACTGCAACTCTGCGGCAACAAGCACTGAACCCAGCAAGCCAGGCAGAAACACTCTGGGGCAACAAGACCTTCCTGCCACATTTGTGGAATCAGGGAAATTTACTGTCCCTGCACTGGATGCTACTCTGATGTCTTCAAACAAAGAACACGTACTACAAACACAGAAGACTGATAAAAGGTGGGCTGTGAAGAAAAAAGGTCCAGAGAGATGAAACACTTAATTACAGGACATGTTGGCATCAAAAACACCACTGAATGCAGGCTTTGTGGAACTAGTCTATACCTCTATCACCATTCCCAAGGCCAGGCTGGATGGGGCTTTGGGCAGCCTGGTCTGGTGGGAGGTGTCCCTGCCCATGGCAGGGGGTTGGAACTGGGTGGTCTTTAAGGTCCCTTCCAACCCGAACCATTCTCTGATTCTATGAGAGTTTGTCACCTCCATTCAAATGCCACCTGTAAGAAGGAATTCCCCTGGGCACATTTCTGTGCAATCTGTGATGGACTCCAATGGCTCGTCCTGTGCAGGAGGTCACATCTGATACCATGTGGTCCCCTCTGGCTTTAGCATCTACAAATCAAAGGTCAGATACTTCCATCACCAATATAACAAGCAAGAGCTATTCTGCAAGACTCTATCTTGTAGATTCTATCTTGTGGAATGACTACCAGGAGGGTTTCTTTGTCACAAGCATTTCCTTGTGCTACAGGAGCATACATGCACTTTCTGCAGAGAAATTAAATAATAAACTATCACCAAGGAAAGTTAGGGAGTTGACAGAAAATCCACTAAGACTAGCTGCACATAACTAGAAATCTCAACTTTGAACAACCTCACAGAAGCAAACCCCGCTCAAATCAACTGGGTTGATAGCAAGAGTAAGAGTGAGGGAGCGCACAGGATGGCTGTACTGGAAGAAAATGGATCTTGGAGGTTCCACAGGATGAGACAAGGCATTATAAAGGCCCTTCAGCCTTGAAATTATCTTTAACACAGGGACATGCAGCAGTCTGTTCGGAAGAAATGTAAAACCAGTTATCACTCCATGCTTTAGGTAGGTACCGGAGACAGCATTATGTACATGAGATAGCCCTAGGTGGTTTTCACTCAAACGAGGAATGAGTCTACACGATATGATCTACATGAGGTGGAGATTAACAAACATAATAGCTCATCTCCTTTTTACAAAATCAGGACCAAAATCTTGTGATTTTTTCCTGCCTGTAACCAAGCACAGATTGCCCTGTTTTCAAAGCAAAATCTGTTCAACAGAAACACAAGCGTGTTTGCTCCTGATCTTACTGTTAGAAGCTCAAGTGAATCTTTGCCTGTTTTTCCAGACATATGCAAGTGTCAGTTAACTTGTTACCCAGATAATTTTTACTTATTTAATAATACTAATACCATTCATTATTCCATAATATATGCTCATGCCCTTAGAAGTAATTGAACTTAACGCTAAGTGTCTCCTTGTATTTCCTGACACCGGTGTTTCTGCAAAAAGAGCTGCTGCATCTTAACCACACCCCCTGCCCACAGCGTTATAAAACAACAAAGGCAACAAATACACAAAATCCAAGCTTTCCCTTGCTTGTCACTTTATTCAGTTGACTGTCCTCTCATTGTTTCACTTTAATTGCTGGAGCTTGATACCATACTAATTTTCCTCCGTCAGTTCATAATATCAATTTCCCTGAAGGTCAGAAACAATACATCAGGAAATACCACCTGCTATTCAGGGATATCGCAGGAAATTTGCATTTCCACTTTGTAAAGTGTTATTATTTTGGACTGACAACCCACATTATTTCATTATCCCAAAGCATTAGGATCCCTGAAAGCTGTAAAGAGAGAGAGAAAGAAAGAGAATCGGCATCCTGGCTGGCCTCCCGCTAGCATTTCATGGTCATTAACAATCAGAGTGGGAAGACAAACAACTTGTTGCTGAAAGATAGGCATGCCTTACACACAGCTCGTACTGTCACTTCGGCACAAGCATGGGAGCAATTCAGCCGCTTCCTCGGTCTCCCCCAGCCCAGCCAGCCCTCGTCCCGGGCTGGGTTACTGCTCGAGTGAGTTCCTCCATCCTCTGCGAGCTGCGCTGAGGAATGAGGTGGCAGACACAGCCAGAGGATTTACTCTCTCGCAAGCATATGGGAGACTCGGGCGCAACTTCTGCAGGGAGTTGAACAGCTTCCTTCCAGCATTTTATTCATTGGGTGTGAAAATGCAACGTTTTGGGAGCATCAGCAGGGGAAGGCAAGCTGCCCGCTGCCAGGTGATCACAAGCCTTGCAACCTCCACAACAGCTGTAGCGAACATCCCAGAAAACAAACTTCAGCCCTTAAGCATTTCCCCCCTTGGGGTATTTGAGCAGCCATCCACACAAACCCTAGCAGCTTTATTACCTTAGAATTTTTAGCATAACCTTGAGGGATCGGGCAGGAAGGAGGAGACCCATCAGAGGGAACCTGCA